ATTCATATCTCATTTAAAAACTTAACAATCTTCACAACTCCACACTGATAAGTAAATATTACCTACCGAATCAGGTCTTCGTCTTCCTGCATCCGGATAAGCTTTGAAAAATTGAGCAACATATGTTACAATTGACTTTTCATCTGGTCTATCAACATCAACATCTAAAATTAATCAAAACTGTTATTCAGTATATGAAACACAAAAGTTCATTTGATTTTATACAGATTTATCAAAATAACCGGTGAAGTTTATGATAGCTAAGCAATAAATGTATGTAAAATAAGCTTATATTAATTGATTAGATTAGGAATTTTACATTTTTAATCCCATCCGGGCGCCACCGAAGGGGTGGTACCCAAAATAAAAAAAGGCTAACCAGAAAAATGTTTATCATGATATCAGGATATCATAAGTTCCACTCCTAGTGAAGACATAGGTATGCTTTGTTTAGGTGATGCATACTAAGATGAAACAACTGTCCAATGCTTCATGGATTTCATTGATATCTCAAATGAAGTTCATCTGTAATGAATCATCTAGTATAAGATAACAATGACTCGGTCTTTTTCCACTTTGTTATTATTAAAGAATGTAAAAAGCAATGCAAATAGTTTCTATACGCATTCTCTCTACTATCTACCTTAATCATATTTATGACAATAAATGAAATTGCTCTAAAGTTGTTCATTGAGGTAAGATGGAGTTACATTATTACTGTTTATAATGACTTTCATTGTATTCATTGTATTTCTTTTTCATTCAAATCAATTAAAACACTAACCTTCAGGATCTAAAAGTCTTGGTATACCCAAATGTTTTTCAGCTTGAGTAAATGCATGTTCTAAATTTTCTTTTGATGTTCTACTCTTTACTTTGTCCATTTCAACAAGACTGGAATCAATATTATGTACCATAGCATTGAATGCTATACCATCACGCCAACTTGGACCAAAATCACGAATTTGAACATCGTATTTCCTGAATATACATGGTTACATAAAATATGATAACATAATAGAAACGTCAGATTATAATCTGTAAACGTAGACTAACAATAAATTATATAAAACATTATCCATAATTAATAAATGCATAATATATTATCATGTTCTAGAATGAACTACTCTATAAATCCAACTATGGTGTATGCCATATAGTTGTCGACAGATATAAGTAGTATGTATCATTAATCGAAAATGAAATACCTGGCATCGGAAGCTTAAAAAGATTAAAGAAAAGATAACCGAGAACAAAGAATGATTGGTGTGGAAACGAAAAAACAACAACAATGAAGTTTAAGTATAATCGATAGTCTCCATCTATGTTCTCATTCATTACACAACTATCAAACCCTTAGTCTCTAACTTGATTTACAAATAACAAATGAATTTCCCTTATTGTTTCTTAGAACTTTGTCACCTTTAAACCTAAATAAAGAAAAATGAATACAGTCAATCATAATAGGAAATTATACTTTGCACACTTGTTGTTGTACCAGTAGTGACCATTAATAAACTATTAATTCTTACCATCTGTGCCTAAAATACATTTTTATTACTGAATTCCCTAAGTAAAACCACCTACTTGCTGTCACTTTATGTTAACACCGTCCCCAGCAGGTTTAACTAATTTGAATAACATCAACAGTATATCACTGTCACATGACACACGCACTTTGGTAGACCTGATTGATATATTTTGGTAATTACTGCTTTGTTGTTCCGTGCTCTCTATTTTCGTTCTAATTTCTCTAGTTGTAGATAATTATCATTAATTCGATCTGGCACACGAATTGACCTTAATTACTCCGTCAATAAATCAACAGGCTATCCATTTAAGAAATATTAAAAATTACCGACTGGTGCATTGGATCGCTGTAATATATGTACTACTTAAACAACTACTGAACTAGTATACTTAAAACTTTCTTCTATCACATGTTTGTTCTGTACATCTAATGTTACTCTTTATATCAAATTGATCATGCCTGTAAACTGGCTTGAATTCTGTAATCATTATTTTAGGAATATAAATTATTATTAATATTAAATATACATTGAATTCATTGAAGAGTTTTCGAAACCTGAATTATGGTTGCTGTTTCATAAGGTAATCAAGTTTTTTTTTATCTAGAGGAGTAAGGAAGATACTAATGGAGACTCTAAAGAGATCCTGTAATAATAATAATAATATGGTCCTATCAAAATCTCTTAAGCATTTCAGTGTATTTCTCAAACGTGTTAGTAACAAACATTAACCAATCCCTGTTCTATCATATCTATAAACTTTAGATCTCACAACGTAGACAATATCTTGAAAGTGTTGACTTAGAATTGAAGTGCGTACACTTCTAATCACAGTTTATTTATAGTACAATTCGATTCACACTCATTGTCATTGATACATTTAACCTATGATCTATTTATATTATACATGTCATAATATCTCACTAGATCCTTGCAAATCTATTTCGAAACTGTTCAATATGGAGTACATAATCATTGTTTTAGATATAAAGTCTCTGATTACCTTATACGCCAATTATGGGAATTCTAGATAGTTATATTATGTAGATGTGGTGATAAAAATTTTAAAACGTAAAATATGAAGGTGTAAAATACAAAAAAACGATCCCCTGTGTTATTTATTTATTTCCACAAATAGTGTAATCCAAAAATTTATAAAAAAAAACAATTTGATCTAAGCCCCCAAATGCCCTGGTACGGCCGAAGGATGGGGAGAGTTAGTTCTCCTTCTGTAAATGCTCTCACATAACCACGCGTAAATAGTCACTGCCACGAAAGTACTACTCACTGCCTTCTCAAGGCACTACTGTTATTTACGAAATTGAGGGGACGGAAAGCGAATGTCCGGTGATTTAACCGGGTGGTGTACACAGAAAGTCTACGTAGGGGAGTTGGTAAACTATGATTTCGAACCAACGGTACACATGGGTTCCAGTATCCTGAAAGAACAAATGGCGCATGAAACAACTATTGGTCACCGGCTACCATGGGACTGTATCTACTCACGATGCTCCACTGCCTTGTGGGTCAGACTTTAGGTCGAAGACTCTGGGTATGGCCCCCTTAGAAAACCACCTGCTTCAGTCTGTACACCCGGACAGTATCACAGCCTTTACACAAATCAAGTGACTTATATGGTGCATATGTATTCGACGCCCCTTTGTACTAATATTCATGTGTTCAAATAAATAAAACAACTATAGCTTCTGTGTCATTTACAATCATTCATTTTTTCACTTTCTGTAAAATAAAAATTACAGTCAGCATATTTTCTTTACTCTGTTGATTGTGCAATAAAACCATGTGAATCATAAGCAAAACAGTGTTCATTTTAAATAGTAGAAAATTAACACACTCAAAGAACAAAGAATATAGTGCTTCATACTCACAATCCTTTTCTTCTGAAAGAACTAAAAAAAGTGGTAAATATTGAGAGAAGTAAAATTTACAAACTTTCAAGAGGATTTACAATTTTCACCCAATATGTATATATATATTACTTTCAATTATGCTCAGTTGACATTCAAACTCTATTTCACCTACTTTAGCCTAAGTGTTGATGTCGTATCATTAGCATTCATTGAAAAGATATGTACCTCAAAGTTAAATAATTAAACTTTTACTTGCCAAATGAGTTACAATAATTAATAGTTCACATGAGATTAACACCGGAGTCAGATAAGGCTGTCTACTATTCCCCTTCGTCTTTCTTCTAGTGATTGACTCGATTATGAAGACCTCAACATCTGAGGGAAAACACGGAATACAATGAACAGCTCAGAACCAATTAGACGATTTGAACTTCGCGGATGATCTAGCGCTCATATAGCATACACATGAACAAATGAAGTTAAAGCCAGCCAATGTAACAGCAGTCTCTGCATCAGTAAGCCTCAACACACACAAGGGGAAAACCAAGATCCTCAAGTACCACATGCAGAACATTAATCCAATCACACTTGATGGAGAAACTCTGGAAGATGTAGAATCCTCCACGTACCTGGGAAGCATTATAGACGAACAAGGAGGTTCAGATGCAGATGTAAAGGAGAGGATTGGCAAATCAAGAGCTGCATTACTACAATTGAACAACATATGGGACTCAAAACAACTGTCTGTCAACCAATATCAAAGTCGCAATCTTCAATACGAACGTCAACACAGTCAGTTCTACCGTACGGTGCTGAAACGTCCAGAACTACTACAAGTAGCGTCAAAAAGGTACAAGTATTTGTAAACAGTTGTCTACTGAAGATGCTCAACATCCATTTGCCGGATATCATCAGTAACAGTTTTCTGTGGGAGAGAACAAACCAGCTTCCAGTTGAATAGGAAATTAGGAAAAGACGATGGAAGTGGATAGGAAATACATTACGCAAATCATCAAACTGCATCACGAGGCGAGTGCTAACTTGGAATGGTGAAGGGAAGCGTCAAAGAGGAAGGTCAAAGAACACATTAGGTCGGGGAATAGCAGATATGAAAAAGATGAACAACAACCGGAATGAGCTGGAAAGGTTTGCCCAGGATAGGGTTTGATGGAGAATGCTGGTGAGCGGCTTATGCTCCTTCCCAAGGAGTAACAGGTGTAAGTAAAGTAAGTAAGTAAATGAGATTATCAGTAATAAAACACAGGCTCTTGATAAACATACTAGCTGGTCTCACAAAAATATACAGATTTTTCAAAACCAGAATTAAATAACATCGAGAAACAGAAATCTGTTATTTGGTTTTGCATATCATTTAAGACGATGTATTCTATAACAACAAAATTTTGTCTGTTATTGCATACAGATAACACAGTTATGATTTGGTAGATAATCATCAAAATCTCAAGAAGGCAGTCTATTTTAATTGCCACGATTGCTATGTACACGAACTGCTGAAATCAGTATATATATAACTCAATCTTATCGGGGGTTAGTCGCCGCTTGAATGGCTCAATTGTAATATCTCAGGATCTGAAACACTTTCGAATCTCTCAAGAAGCATCAGTGCCCTTAACATCCTAAGTGGCCTAACTGTTCAGTCTGATATTGTACAACTGATTGTTATGAATCAAACTAAAAAAATTAATGTATTCGGAAATGGTTTGATTTATTTCTAGGTTTTCTATAAGCACTTGATTTCTTCCCTGTATCAGACTTCAACTAACTGTCTATCTTTTTGCATCAAATCTGAAAATTCAATATGAAAGTTTCATAATTTTGAAAGAAAATCATTCTAATAAAGATCTTAAACGTTTCATTAAAACCTACCCAGCGAAAATTTCTTGAACCCAAGTTTGTAGAGCACGTTTAGCTGAACCTCTTGCTTTAAGTGAGCCAGGTGGAAGATCCAAAATTTTCAGTAGTAACTCTTCTTGTTCCTCAATCTTAATATAAGTAAAGCATGTGAAAATTGACAATAAATTTTAATTAGATATATTTTTCATTTGTATAGTTGTACAGATCGTTGAGTTTTAATTGAGATCATAAACCGATAAATGGTAGTCCACCATTGAAAACTTGGAAGAACATCACGGTCGTTTAGTGCTAGTGTGTGACTCCTCAGAAGTGCACACTCACAATCCCTCATGCAGGACTCAAATCCAAGCCTTCAAGTCCTGCACATGGTCGTGAGGTTGAGCGCTTGCGTGTGAGAGTGAAAATCCTATGTTTGAGTCTCACGTGTGGGTTCGTGGATGCACTCTGCTGAGAAGTCCCATACTATGTCGAAACGACCGTCCAGTGTTTCCAGGTTTTGAATGGTGGTCTAATATTGATAGGCTGATGATATCAATCAGATATATTTTGTTGTTGCACAGCTATAGCAGGCAAAAAGAATTTGACTGGTTATGACTCAAATACATTGTCTTAAATATATGACATGTAAACGCATAATAAATTTTGATGTTTGTTAGGGTAAGATAGTTTGTACCGCATATAGACTTTTGTTAGACAGTCATTAAAAATCAGGAAGCATTAAAATACTGTTTCATCTGAGTATTAATCTTCCTAATAACCTCTTCTAGTAATTTTATACCTCATAATGAGGGCATTACTTGCAACCGTTGATTAAGATTCAAACAACTAAAATTTCCTGCTTAAACCAATCTACATTCTTGCACAACAAACATATATTATTACTGATGATAAGTATCTTAAGCACAATTTGACTAGTTTTTATTAGCCATCAGTAGAATAGTTTCAATTATCAGGACATGCTTTTTCAATACGACAGTTTTAATAAAATTTTGTTTATCAGTTTAGGGGTTGTAGAGACTGTTAAGTTTTTGATTGAACAGATTGATGTTAGACCACCATTGAAAACTTGGAAGCACTGGACGGCCGTTTCGCCCTATTGTGAGACTCCTCAGCAATGCGGATACACGACCACGCTCGCGGGATTCGAACCCAGGGCCTTTGGTCTCGCGCGCGAACGCTTAACCTACTGGACCACTGAGCCGGCATCCAATAGTGTTAATGTCTAACCTCAACCAATCCACGAAATTGCGCCACCATCTTCCATTTTACTGAGGTAGACACCTGTTTCTACCCGACACGGATTAACTCCGCTGGTCACGGCTTCTCACCACAACTCCGGGACTGAATGCCCTGGGTTCGAATCCCACGGGCGGGATTGCGGATGCGCACTACTGAGGAGTCCTACAATCGGACGAAACGGCCGTCTAGTGCTTCAAGGTTTTCAATGGTGGTCTAACATCAATCGGTTCATGATCTCAATCAAAAAATTTTGTTTTCAAAAACCATTCAAATAAAATAGCTACAACACTTATTTGGTGACAGTAACTCTCAGGAATCTCTGTTTGCTAAATATTATGAAACTGAATTTAGATTACATATCTAACTTATTTTAACATGAATGTATCTTTTACAGTGACTAATTGGACGGCTATTAATTTTAGTTTCTTTAAGTTATTAAAACTTTATACGATACCTAAGAAATGTGATTTAAAGGCCAATTTATTGATGATTTTAAATATTTAAGCAACAAGAAAGGCAACACCTAGATGATCAGTAAATGAATAATTGAATGTTCGGTAAGACTATGGACTACGGACGACTTTGAGCGATGCTAATGTGGTATTGAGAGTGTTCACTTAATAACTAGGACCCAATGAGGGTTATGAACTTGTTTGAGGAATTAGAACTTAAGGTTAGAGATTAGATTTAGGGTTTTCATCACGAACTGACGTCAGCTATAATGCTAAAACTCTATTTAGCCAAATGGATGAGTGAATTTCGCGCCAAAATCCGAAACCTGTCATCTTATACCTGATTGGTTTGTCCATAAATTATAGTCTCGCTGAATATTCTTTACACAATACGATCTCAGTTACTTGAAAAATAAAAAAAGATAATCAGTGGACTAAAAAGGCATTTTGTAAATGTTTGTACGGAACTAGCTGTTACACCCAAAGACTTTTAAACTGAATAAATTACTTAATAAGCCAAATACACATTCAAATACTCTAATTACTGATATTTAGTTTGACATATGTTTGTAGTGTCAGTTACCATGTTAACCCCACATAACTTATTCTAGCTTGTGGATAGGCCAATTTATCCATTCTTCTTGAGTCATGTTTTAATCTTGTTAATTATTCACTTATCAACATTGACTGTTTTTATATGAGCGTATGTGTGTACATTGCTTATTCTATTCGTCACATGTCTGTAGCTTATTTTTGTGTGACTATAAATATTGATTAACGCTTGATTAAATGGAGTTGGTTCACACGCTTTCTCCACTGCGCATTATTTCGCTTCGCTTTCTTCGCTTCATTTGCTGCGATTCCCTGATTGTTTGTCCCGAACAACGAGTGTACAAAATGTATAGATTCAAAACTTTATTCTTGTATTTGACTTATTTAATTCCGTTATTCACTATAAGATCTAAGAAGATAATTATAAACGAGGATAGCCAGGATGTACAGTTTGACAACAATCACTGGAGTCAGATCCCGGATCATTAAATGTTCCTCAGATTTCAGTGAATGTTTGTTAAATTTAATGAAATATTGATTCTGACTAGTTGCCTAGTGTATTCAGCTTAATATTGATTACTTGAACGAAAACATAATTACAGCTTAACGAAAATTTATTCTACCTAGTCATGATATGAATGTCAAGTAAAAACATGTCTGAAGGAGATTTTAGAAATTTCACAGATTGAAATCATGAGTCAATTGAAGCTAGACCACCATAGAAAACCTGGAAGCACTGGACAGCCGTTTCGTCCTAGTATGGGGCTAGTATGGGACTCCTCGACAGTGCGCATCCACGATCCCGCACCCCGCGAGATTCGAACCCAGGACCTATCAGTCTCGCATCAGGCGCTTAACCAACTAGACCACTGAGCCGGCATCCAATGGTGAAATTTCTAAAATCTCCACAAAACCCCTTCTGATAATAATCATCTGCTCACTAGTGACTGACTTCAAGAGATACTCCTGAAGTTCTAGTGAGAAGTTGTTACCAGTGGAGTTCAACTAGGTCTGTTGTGAGATAGGAACTCACTGAAGACAATGATATATGGTGGCGCAACTTCGTGGATTGGCTGAAGTTATACATTAACAAGATTGGATGCCGGCTCAGTGGTCTAATTGGTTAAGCGCCTGGCGCGAGACTGATAGATCCTGGGTTCGAATCTCGAGGGGTGCGGGATCATGGATGCGCACTACTGAGGAGTTTCACACTAGGACGAAACGGCTGTCCAGTGCTTCCAGGTTTTCCATGGTGGTCTAGCTTCAATTGACTCATGATTTCAATCAGTGAAAAACATATCTGTATGAAACCTGACTAAATCAATGGTGGAGAATTACAAGTCTTTTTTTGATTTTGTAAATTTGAAGTAAAAGAAGAAGAGAAGTAAAATAAAATGACGAAATCGATAAATTATCTGATTGTAAATTTGTTAACTTACTTGGAAATATAGTATAATAACCCATATGAGACCAAGAACAATAGCTGGTTTCCGTCAGCAATATCAGTCGGATTGACATTGACTAATTTAACCTATTTATGATACATATGTTATTAAAAGAAAATTCAAAAAGAAATAGTTCGTTATGCAGTCACAAAGAAAGATTAAAGGAATAAAATCAGTGTATATACTTCATTCTGATTGATACCAACTAGGTAGTCTTTGATAACCTACACTGTGATTTCAAATAAATTACTACATTGTGATGATGACTTACTCAAACTAGTGACCATATTTCAAGTTGATCGATAAGATCTAAACATCATGATAGTCATCCTTATCAAGTAATTAACTAGTTTACCTTCAGTCTGTTACAATTATCTGTTCGGTAGTTTTTATAACTGGCTTTATACTTCTCAAATGTTAGGTATTTCCGGATAGGATTATATGGATAGCTGTTCTTAATACTCTAGATGAACAGTAACATTTAATCATTGTACTGTAAATGGTTTATATTTAGCAAACCAATAATACGATTGTGATAAAGAATTTGGTTACAAATACAAATGTGTCTCTAGCTCTGATAGTTATCACATTCCATAATAGTTGTTATTCAGCTGATTTTTTTTCACTTTAACTCTCACAAGAATACGTTGTATACCGAGCAAAACCTGACAGGTCACATCATATCACAGGCTGACATAGTAAGTAAGATTTTTTTATAGTGTAAGTAGGCTAAGAGCCTCACCAAAGTAGTCCCCCTAAATGTTCTTTATTGAGTTGATCCAGACATATATATATGAATTGCAAGCATCATCATACGTCCATTACCAACGAAATATCTTTCACTGTCATATCTTCTCACTCAAATTAGTTTTAATGACCAAGCGTAATTTCATGACCCCACCATTAGAAACACAATTAATGCATAATAAGGGGATAGATGGACAGTGTAATCTGATTTTTAGTTAGTATTCGTGAAAATGCTTTTAGTTTATATAAACCATTTTTATTGTAAGTAATAGTGAGGCTAGACGCACGGTATTAAGGAATGATGGCAAATCAGTTGATGAAGTTGTGAATTTTCATCGACTGAGTTGGTTGGGCCAAGTGTTACGTATGCCTAAACACTGTTTACCATGACGCGCAAACACCCATGTTGGTAGATGCAGACTACGTGATTGGGGTCCACGTGACTATCGTAACCAATGGTTGGCGACTCTTGGTGACATGGAGTAGGTATATACACTCTTTGTCTGCCGTTAAACCGTGAGATTAAAATGGCGTTGTATCCTTCTTTCTATAAAGTCCTTTTTCTTCCTGTACTTTATCCTTATACACAATCTTTCTTTGATACATTTCTACCACTGAAATGACTACTTCTATGAATTTGGTGTTCATCTTGTTGTGCTAATGAGGTATGGCAACTTGAACCGATACATATATGTGCCTGATCCTACTTTGTACCTGACTGACTGAATATAATGATGATTAGCATGGTATCGTCTGTTAAATGAACAACTCTTTTTAAAAAATCTTACAAAAAAGTAGATACAACCTGAATGTTCACTATATTGTAATGAATTTCCACTTACATTCCTTGAATGTAAAAATTCCAATGCAGTTTTAATGTTTGATAGACAATGTATCCGATTCATTTGAACCCGACTTTCTGCACGCTTTGTAAAGAGGAAGAAAGTTGAAAACACAATTAAGGAGAAGTTCAATATGCAATGAAAAAATAAAATAGGTGGATGTTTGCATGTCATACGTTGCCATTTGAGATTTATATAATCACTGTATATTAACACTATACCAGTCTTATCATTATAATAAACAGCCATTATTTATAGACACCATTTCATTTACAGTTATTTCTGAACAGAATAATGATTGTTATTAATAGTTGTTGATAGCTTTTTCATGGACTACCTGTCCAGTCAATTAATAAAATCCAGTCTTACCATTTGACTAACCGATATAATTATAAGAATGGGTATTGTAGTGATTTTAATAGTTGAACTCATGAGTTGATGAAAGTTAGGCCACCATTGAAACCTAGAAGCACTGAACGGACGTCTCGTCCTTAATATGGAGCATTTCAATCCTGGATTCGAGTCCTGTATGTGGAATCGTGATTGCGCATTGCTAAGGAGTTCCCTACTAACCAATATAACATTGAATCAAATTTTTGACAATAAATAGTGATGTTTTTCTTTCTTCAATGTTAATCATAAAGGAGTTTTAAACGATTTGGATTAGAATAGATGTTGTACATCTCAATAAAACATTTCTACAGTAGAGTGTTTAAGAATAGGAAGTGAAAAGTAATTAATCTTTGTCATCATATAAAAAATACAACTATTTCAAATTGCACTGAAGAGCTGGTTTTTCCTGGTTATTTTTATTCTGTAATGTACGATACATTCGAAGATAGTTTCCTTCATGTACTAATATTAAATCAAGGTTACATTTGTTTTATGTTACTTTCATACTCCATAACATTAAGCATCCGTAAACTCGGAGCTTTAAATTTCATGACGTTTGTGTTAACCTACGGCCACAAAAAATAAAGTGACCTTCGCTTTTAGACTTGATAATGGATAAGAACTAGCGAGATTCAAACCCTACACAATATGGGGTTGTAGAAATTACTGAATTTCATTGAAATCTTGAACCGATATAAGTTGGATCACTATAGAAAATCTAGAATCATTGTGTTTTCAGGTTTTCAATAGTGATCTAACTTAGATAAATTCATGATCTTAATGAAGTGAAACTGTTCGATGTATGTAAGAATTTACTCAATATACCTTTACACTTGTCTTGGTTGGGAATTTTTTATAATAACCTGAAATGTGAATGCAGACGAACGTGATAAGAGTTTCAAATGTAACATTTTCGTATATAAAGTACATGTTATAACCTGTGGCTATGTGCCCTACAAATGCATAAAGTCATTATACCGCCAATTAGAGGACAGTGAATGGTCGACTAGACCAATGACGCTTAAAACCCGTACAAGCAGTCTAGAGTCCTTACCGGTCCTGCTTCCCACTTAGCCCTGACTATCAAGTTCAGAACACCAATCTCAGTCTCTACAATATGAATAATGTATTTCAAACATACTGGGTTTACATGTAAATCAAACAGACCACCTCACACCACAAATAGAAAACAACATTTGTACAAGATTAAGCCAAAAGTGGCTGTGAATGTGGGAAACTGTAATTAATAGACTGGGCAGAACTCAAGAGTGGTAAATCGTAGGGTCAAAATAAAGCTTAAAATAAGAGGAACATTAATATGAATACGTTAGCTGCTTAACAATCATACGATAGATACGATAGATACGATAGATTCCAACAGTTACCATTCATTATTCACATCGAGATATAACAATTCATATATTTTTCAATTTGATAGATGTTGTCCCAGTTTCTCATGAAAGATATTTTGTTTATACTGAATCACATCAGTCAAATATTGAATTAAATAAGAAGAGAATGATGATGATTAAGTATATACATTAATCTCTGTTTGTATGGGACTTTTAGTAAAATCATTCCATATCTTAATAGTTGAGATTATTTATTTATTTATTTTAACACAGATATTGGTACAATGAGGCACCAAATATATATGCGCCACACAGATGTCATTTGATATGTGTCAGGGCTGTGATACTGCACGGGTGCCAGAACCGAAGCAGGTGGTTTTCCCAGGGAGCCACACCGGAGCCTGAAGGTCGAAGATGGATTCTCCATGTACACCAACCCGGTTAAGGCGCCGGATGTTCGCTTTTCGTCCTCTCATTTTGTAAACAACACCCCCGCCACGAGAAGGCAGTGAGTAGGGCTTCCCTGGCATAGGCTATATACGCGTGGCCATGTGAGAGCATTTGGAGAGGGAGAGCGGACTCTCCCCACTCTCGGCCGTTCTAGGGCATTTGGGGGAAATAGTTGAGATTATGAGTCAATTCAAGCTAGACCGTCATGGAATACCTGGAAGCACTGGACGACCATATCATCCTACTGTGAGACTCCTCATCAGTGCGCATCCACGATCGTGGATCAGAACTATCAAAATTACTATAATATCCACAGAACCCCTTCTGATGTCATTCCATATCTCACAGAAATCTATCATTAATACTTTTTTTCTTTTAAATCAAACGTTTTTATTGATGACTTAATTCATCTTCCTATAATTTATGGCTATAAATTTATATCATATGTGTGTTTATATTGAAATGAATATCCGATTATATTACTGTTTTCTTTTGTCATTGAAAGAACATTCATTCATAATGATCACAATGTCCAACTAACTGTTAATCAAATGACTAATAATAATAATAATAATAATAATAAGAAGAAGAAGAAGATTCATTTCTTTTATGTGACAAAGGAATTTGTCAAACTTGATTTATAGAAAGTACAAATGTTGATCACATAAACTTTTTTCATTGATTCGTATCATCTATTCATTTATAATGTGACAGGTTGAATTAAACAACAAAGTTTATTCGATCAAGTTAAGAAAAGTTATGTGTAAGATTCAGCAAAGCAAATATATCAGTACGGGACTGTGGAGATTACAATTAAATACTTGACAGTCTTCACAACCCCATGCTGATAATTATCATGTGCTCACTAGTGACTAGATTCATGAGAGAATTCTTGGAGTTCTGGTGTGAAGCCGTGATTAATGGTGCTAATCCATGTCAGATATAGAGATAGTTATCTGCTTCAAACAGTTAAAATATTGTAATTTTGTATTAAGTATACACTGCGGTTTAATTGAACATAGGTTAATTGTTCGAAACATTTGTGTTTCATATAGGACATTAAAACAGAGCAACTTTGATGGAGTTTTGTTCTCTGAGCTGGATGGTTTGGTCGTGGAGCTTGCATCGTTCTTCTGAACGACATCATCAACAGCACAAACTTCAGATAGAAGTGAAGTGTTCGAATTTCTCCATATGCGTTTCACAGCTTGTTCTGTACACCTCGACGTTGATTGGTTCTTATTGACCATGAGCAAACTATCCAGCTCAGAGAACAAAACTTTATCAAAATCATCCACCTGAGCTACAATTCTTCTCCATCATCTCACAGAGCAACATTCCTAAAAAGATTAATAATTTTAAAAAGTCTTAACCTCATAAATGTCATTTAAAGTGAGATTTTGATTAATAACGGGCTATTTTCATCCAAATGAATGATCATTATAAATATACATTAATTTTCGAGAGAACCAAACACCATTTAAGCTCTTTACAAATTGAACAGTACAGCTCAGTCCTGTGGGTCAATTGCCGTATTTAAACCATAACCTATATAAACATTAACTATCTTTAACACAAAATATAAGTCTTATTTACGTTATTGTAACAGAAGAATTACGAACGGATAATTTTAAAGCCTGTTGACGGAGTTACTAAAAACTATTGATTTCTCAATCATTCTTTGTGTTTAAATGAATCTGAGTCAACAGCATTAATCTCCAGCATACAAAACCTCTGAAGTGTTCGATGCATTATTTGCTACCCGGTATTTAACTTTAATTATGAATATTATGGTTTAAATGACGTTAATTAAACTTATTAGAAATAACTTGGTTGGATTGAAACAGTTATTTACTGAAAAGAATGGTGGATGGTCGCTCAATGTGAGGATTGTTCGATGTTAGATATTAGCACAGTTGATCTAGAGGTCAAGTATTCGTCCGACATTTAAGAAACTGTGTTTGAGTCCTGTATGTAGGGTCATGGATAGGCACTGGGACGAAACGGCCATCCAATGCTTTCTAACTTAGACTGTTTCATGATTTCAAATAAATTTAATCTGTTGACTACTGATATAAAAGCCATTCTACTAGATTTTTTGAGTTATAGTTCTATGTGATTTAACTAATCCTAGTGGATGGTTTACTTTATTTGAAACCGAACAGTGCAAAGCATTCAACCATTACCCTTTCTTAATTTGAAAATCCCTAATAGTTGTGTATAGGGTGTAATGAGTTCAGATATAGGCCAAGCTTTGTCTTCTGACATTAATAAGAATGAATAAAACAAAAAGTACCGAAGATGTAAAGAATCCACTATTACAATTATATTTCAACACCAACTTAACAATTCAAGTTCTTCATTAGCATTTAGCTTATACTTGATCCCTGACATGATCCTGAATGTTCTACTACAAAATATTTATAGATGATGTTGATGGAGTTTTGTTCTCCACCAAAATCATCCACCTGAGCTACAAATCTTCTCCGTCATCTCATAGATGATGTTATACTCATATCCATAGTTAATTGCTAGTGATGATCTATTAAAAAATAACCAAAGTAAGAAATCATATATTACTTTATCAAATATAAAAAAAGCTTACTAGTTTCTCTCCTGATAAAACTTCTAAAATTCTTATTAACACTATTCCATTCTTGATATCTTCAAATAAATCTTGAACTTTCAATGGTGGATTCGCCTAAAGTGAAATTATAATCATCAATAATTGAATAGATAACTCGAAACCTTAATGATAATGAATCACATATTTTAATGTACAAAGTTTATGTTTGATCACTCCTAGAATACTGAATGTTTATTCTTAGTAGTGCGAGAATAAAGGACATATTAAGTCTGGAATCAGTACAGAGATGATTTAGACTTTGTATTCTTGGAACCTTAACTTATAATTCTAGATTAACAAACTTGGGCTAGACCCTTTATGGAAGGGAAGAATCAAATTAAATCTTATCTTTTTCTTCAAACTACTTAATAAACTATCCTTTACATCCAATCAAGTGATTCAATATGCAGAAACTTCTCATTACGACATTCATAACTCCTTGTCACTAGTGAAACAAACTTGTTCTAAATCATCTCTCTATATGAATTACTTTATCTGTAAATTTTCTAGACTCTGGAATAATCTACCAGAATCTATCTGTAGGATAAAATCACTGTCATTATTTGTTCGCTGCATCCATGCATACTGCTCCTCTGAAAATGCATTGAATGGTCTAGCACCTGGAAGTCTATCTCATTCCACAAGTGATATTTTAGGAAGTTTAAATGATTAGCCATCTTTATTAGTGAATCACCTAAGTAAAACCACCTACTTGCTGTCACTTTATGTTAACACCGTCCCCAGCAAGTTTAACTAATTTGAATAACATAAACAGTATATCACTGTCACATGACACACGCATTTAGGTAGACCTGATTGATATATTTTGGTAATTACTGCTTAGTTGTTCCGTGCTCTCTGTTTTCATTTTACTTTCTCTGGTTGTAGATAATTATCATTAATTCGATCTGGAACACGAAATGACTTTAATTACACCGTTCATAAATCAACAGGTTGTCCATTTAAGAAATATTAAAAATTCCCGGCTGATGCATTGGATTGCTGTAATACATGTACTACCTAAACAATTACTGAACTAGTGTACTTAAAACTTTCTTCTATCACATGTTTGTTCTGTATATCTAATGTTACTATTTATATCAAATTGATCATGCCTGTAAACTGGCTTGAATTCTGTAATCATTATTTTCAGAATATATTATATTATTATACTTATAAACTTGAACATCTTTAATGGTGTATAATAAGAAATAGGGAATGATAATAGAACAAATAATCATAATTTTAATCTATAAACTAAATAATTATAGGGGTTATCCAATAATCATTACTACTATCCATAACGTTTAATACCACAATCATAATAAACTAATGGAACATTGCCTGTCAATTATACAATGATGATTTGATATTATATATAACAAAAGTGTAAAATGTATACTTCGCGTTCATAGATGAGTACTACAAACAAATCATAATAAATTGGAGTGTCACTAATATAAATCATCAATGTCATTCTTTACAATAAGCTATATAGGATATTATTTCATAACATATACAATGACGCTTATATCAGTCTTATATCAGTAGTATATATGATAGTTTTGAATAATTATGAATAAAATAGATGTGATTATTATTTATAAACTTACATTACTCAAATATGTATTTAACCAATTGGTAAATGTTTTCTTCTGTACACGTTCTTGTTCACCTAGAGTAAAAATGAAACAGTAAAAGAAATTATGAACAGAGTAGTGACAAGTGGGGGGCCGCATTCCTACAATTGAACAACATATGGAAATCAAAAGAACTTTCAACCAATATCATAGTGAGAATATTCAATAAGAACGTTAACACAGTTAGTTCTGCTGTACGGGGCTGAAACTTGGAGAACTACAACAACCATCATCAAGAAGGTACAAGTATTTATAAATAGTTGTCTACGCAATATACTCAACATCCATTAGCCGGATACAATCAAAAACAGCCTTCTGTGGGAGAGAAAAAATTAGCTTCCCACTGAAAAGGAAGTTCGGAAAAGATGATGGAAATGGATAGGACATACATTGCGCAAATCATCAAACTGCAAATGCTAACTTGGAATGGTGAAGGGAAGCGTAAAAGAGGAAGGTCAAAGAACACATTACGTCGGGAAATAGAAGCAGTTATGAAAACGATGAATAGGAACTGGAAGGAGCTGGAAAGGATTGACCAGGACAGGGTTTGGTGGTGAATGATGGTGAGCGGCCTATTCTCTTTCACGAGGAGTAACAGGCGTAAGTAAGTAAGTAAGTGACAAGTGGAGTTCTATATATGTCGGGTATGAGACATTTATTTACTGTAAATAATAGATCAAAACTGTGTAATTAAGTGAATTGATTGCAGTTAGTCATTAACACCGTTGTATATGAACGTTAAGTGTTCATGCACAAGACTGAAGGTCTTGAGCCCGACTAACGGTTTCGCCGTCGTAGACATACTGTTAAAGAGTCTTACACTATGAAGAAACGTCAGCCCAGTGCTTCTAGGTTTTCAGTAGGGATCTAGCAAAGATTGGCTCATGATTTACACTATGAAGATTATATAATCTCTACAAATTCCCTATTCTAATAGTTCTTCTCACCCAATTTTTAAACTTATGTGAGCTCTTCAAATCTTTTATAATCGTCATACAATTCATCATGTTACCATGTACTGCTTCATCTCTAAATCTTTTAACATGCTTCTCCGAATATATATATATATAAATATATACATATATATATATATATATATATATATATATATATATATATATATATATTTCATCGTTTTCATATCTGCTTCTATTATCCGACGCAATGTGTTCTTTGGCCTTCCTCTTTTTCGCTTCCCTTCACGATTCCAAGTTAGCGATTGCCTCGTGATGCAGTTTGATGATTTGCGTAATGTATTTCCTATCCATTTCCATCGTCTTTTCCTAATTTCCTCTTCAGCTGGAAGTTGGTTTGTTCTCTCCCACAGCAGGCTATTGCTGATGGTATTCGGCCGTGGATGTTGAGTATCTTGCGTAGGCAGCTATTTATAAATACTTGTACTTTCTTGATTGTGGTTGTTGTAGTTCTCCAAATTTCAGCTCCATGCAGTAGAACTGCCTTGATGTTCGTATTGAAGATTCTCACTTTGATATTGGTTGACAGGTGTTTTGAATCCCATATGTTCTGCAATTGTAGGAATGCGACCCTTGCTTTGCCGATCCTCGCCTTTACGTCTGCATCTGAACCTCCTTGTTCGTCGATGATGCTTCCCAGGTATGTGAAGGACTCTACATCTTCCAGAGTTTCGCCATCAAGAGTGAATGGATTGCTGTTTTCCGCTTTGAATTTGAGGACCTTGGTTTTTCCTTTGTGTATGCTGAGGCCTTTGTTATTCGAATTCGTTCCGTCATCAGTGACGATTACTCCATACTAAGTCATAACTCAATGTTACACTTCAATACGAATATGGTTGTAGGCAGTTGATGAAAAGTCATTAGATAAAATGAATCCATATTATTCTGCTTTGATTATTGTTTTGGTTATATTCAAAATAAATCAATTGATGATATGACCATGAATTATTCTATGAATTATTTATTTATTTTAACACATAGATATTGGTACAATGAGGCACCAAATATATATGCGCCACACAGATCTCATTTGATATGTGTGAGGGCTGTGATACTGCACAAGTGCCCAAACCGAAACAGGTTGTTTTCTTAGAGGAATACACTCGGAGCCTTCGGCCTGAAGGTCTGATCCACATGGCAGTGGAGCAACGTAGAGATGCATTTCCATGGTATCCGGTGACCAACGATTGGTTCATACTCCATTTGTTCCTTCAGGATACTGGAGTCCATGTGCACCATTGGTTTGAAATCAGGGTTTTCCAAATTCCCTAGTTGGACTCTCCATGTCCATCAACCCGGTTAAAGCACTGGACATTCGCTTTTTTTCTCTCAATTTCGTAAACAATACCCCCATCGCGAGAAGGCAGTGAGTAGGACTTCCTTGGACGAGACTATACACGCGTGGCCATGTGAGGTTTGAAATTAGGTCATTTAACCTTTTAATAAGAGATAACGTGGAGACGTGTTCTTTTTTCATTGAGAAATTGTTCTCCTGTTTTCAGTGTACAGTTACATCACAATAAATAAACTTCTGGATAACTAAGTTGTAAGCTTAGATCTTAATTTATTAATTTCTGGTTGACGGCTTAGATAGTATAACTAGTCCTTAAAAATAAAGTAAAGCTTAATGACAAATGCATCGATCTATGTTTGTTCACTGAGACATTTATAACAACCCAGTTATAACTGACCATCAGATACTTTAACACTTGACAGTGATCGACTATTGTACGTTTCTGAATGGGGTTTAGAGTTACCCAGGATCGGAGCATAAGTTAGAGATGTAAATACAGATAGCCGTGCAAAATAAAGAAACTTCAATTAACTCGCTGTATACTTTCTAAACCTTACTCTGAATCCGCCTTAGGTTAGAAATTCAGTAATGGAAATTAAGAACAAATCCCAAATGTCTTCTTTTGAAATGGGATTTTACACTTGTTAATTGATTTGCTACATACAGTTACAAACCTTCCACAATGATAATAAAATGTACAACCTCATCCAAACTTGGCTATTAATGAGTGTATCACTGAATTCTTCTAAAAACATTTTTAATGAAATCTCTATTAACAACATTACCATCTCAGTCAGTTTTAAATACAGCATTCAATCAAAGTACAACTGTATAGGAGATAAATCAACTTTTAATGTGCTAGCTTTTACCTAACTTATGTTCAAAAGTCTTGTTGGTAAGTTTTCTATCTTTGGAATAACTCCCTACTGACTATTGAATGAAGGTTCAAATTAAATACTTAAATGAGCAAGATTATTTGATTATGAACATAAATATCAATCCATATTATTGTCACGCAACTGTCCCCCTGAAGAGTTCCATAATAGGAAGATAAAATTGTACAGGGTTCGCTAGTTTGAAATGATTTTTTCAACTTCAGTTAATCTGTGATATTGACTATTGGAGGAGTTTAAACTAATAAGCCAGAGTTCAGTAGTCTACATATTCAAGTTTAATCATATTGTAGCATCGTGAGGTCATTACAGTTTTTCGATAATAGACTAATATATGGACACTGATATGCACTGTATAAATATCTTAAACGTCAAGTAAACAACTATCTCATCATCTATGACGTTTAGTAACTCTTCATTAAACGTAAGTAAGCAGTTTTCACGGTTGAAATGAAGGGTTGATCTAAGTTAAACCACCATAGAAAACCTGGAAGCACTGGATTATTGTTTCATCCTACAATCTTCACAAATCTCCATACTGATTAAAACCTTAAATTATCTGAATAACTAATAAAGAAAAAAATGAGGGCTATTTTAAAAGTGATATAAACATGAATATTTTATCGTTATTCTCAAACACATATCATTTTTATATATAAAAGAGGTTCTCGATGTTAAACTGCTATGTTTGAAGCGATTACGAGTTTCACCTAGTCTGAGAACGGAACAAATACTCTGTGACCAAAGATCAATAAACTAGCTATTATGATGCATCCCAGACACGTTAACTAGAGAGAGAAGTCCAAGTTTAAAACGGGGAATTAAGCACGAGAAATAACATCATGCACAAATCAAACGTATATATACAGCAATAAATTGTCCTTGGGAAGCATTACAAAATAGCACAATAAACGATACAGTGAATCAAAAGCGTTTAAGACTATCCCAAGTGGGAAATACGACATGAAGGTAAAATTGAGCCTTTTGACGCAAAAGCAAGAGATTTAAATTTTTAAAATAAAATTACAAAAATGAGATATTTACCAAGTGAGTTCTGGGGATTTAACATCCCCAACACAGATGTGAGTAGTACTACAATGAGATGTTTATTTTATTTTATTTAATTGGTAAGTTCATGAGTCAATTAAAGCAGGACCCGAAAGTTCTGGGTTCGAATCCCGCGAGCAGGATCGTGGATGCTCACTACTGAGGAGTTTCATACTAAGATGAAACGGCCGTCCATTACTTCCATGTTTCCCATAGTGTTCCAGCTTTAAATGACTAATTAACTCAACTATTAAATTACTACGATCTCCACAAAAAACCCACTTCTGATATTATTTTATTGCAAATCTAAATGAATTAACAAGTTACATCATTCACCAAATTGTATAGAAATCCATTCCAAAGCTACTCACTTCGTACCAGACAACCAATAATATTAATTTACTTGATTACCCAGAAATATTTTACAATTCTTGGATAATTTGCTTTTAAAAATAGTATAAACTATAGAACTCTTATAAACCTTTGATCATTGAATGTTATCTAAGGATCCTACGAATTAAATCGGACTTAGGTTGAAAACATGTATTACTGAACTTTGACTAAATTTAATAATATATAGTTCATGAGTCAGTTGAAGCCAGACCACTATGGAAAACGTGGAAGCACTAGACGGCCGTTTCATCCTAGTGTGGGACTCTTCAGCAGTTTGCATCCGCGATCCCTCCTCTCGAGATTCGGACCCATGACCTATCAGTCTCGCGCGCGAGCGCTTAACCATTAGACCACTAAGCTGGACGGCATTGAACAGTGTTAATGTCTAACGTCAAATAACCCACGAAATTGAGTGACACATCAGGATTTGATAA